AAGAACACACTGGATTCCTCCCTCTGAGGAGGGGCTGCAAAGAAGGTGCCCTCCTCTGTACATTTGGAATAAGGACATCATGGCCAGACTATCTGCAGGCTCATGGAGAGGAAAAGGTGAGAGCTGGCATGTGAATGCCACTTGGGAACAGTGGAGCGTCAGGCAAAAGAAAGGGGAGTGTCAACTGCTGTGTTAGGGGATTAATGAATATTAGCAGCCAGTGTTGAGCGAGCCGAGCACATGCCAAGCACCATGGCAAACCTTTGGTTGTCTTGTCTCTTGTATCTCATTTCCAGGAACCTAGTTTGGTTATGAGCACTTCACAGAGGCATGAAGTTGCTTGCTTAAGATCACATAGCTTTTATTTATTTATTCTTCGTTAATCCTCACCTGTGGGCATAGAGACACATCCATTAGCTGCCTCCTGCATGTGCAGATTGAACCTGCAACTCAGGTACGTGCCCCTGAATGGGGATCAAAACCACGACCCTTTGGTGCCTGGGCCAGTGCTCTAACCACTTCGCAACAGCAGCCAGGGCAAAATCACACAGCTTTTAAAGGACCGAACCAGGATCAAACCTTGATAGATCCAAATCCAGAGCCTACCACGTCCCTCCTGAATGCCTCACCCTTTCTAGGCCAGGATTCCCTAGAAGAGAAAGCTGAAGCCCAGGCTAGGGGTGGCAGCCTGGAAACTGGGGGTGGCTGGCACTGAAGAACAGCAGTTGTTCTTTTCTTATTTATTGGTTCTTCCTTTCGGAAAGAAGCAGATACCCCAGCAACCTTGCAAACAGCACTCCATAAGCCAGATCCAGAAAGACACAGTGCCCAGCGCAGCCCGCCAGGGCCCGCCCCTGGTTCTCCTCAGCAGAGCAGGGGATTTAATACCACAGCCTGCAGGGAGGACCCGGGCCGCCAGCATCAATATTTGCCATCTCCTAGCATCCCCGGCCCCGGCTCCAAGATCAGTACTTTAAGTACAACAGGCTCTTTGCTGTGCAAACACGCTGGGATAGATGGATGGAATTTAAAGTGGCTCAGCCTTCACCCCAGGGTTTGGATTGAAAATCTGGTCTGACTTAACCCTCTGCCATCGCTGTTTGCCTGGGACTTTCCGTTCATCCTTAGATTCATTGAACTACAGACATCAAAGCTGGAGAGGCACTGAGAGCTTCCCAGAGAGGGAAGGGACCAGCCCAAAGTCACGCTGCCTGGCGGCTGCTGCTAGGATTCTGAGGGCCACCCGAGTCAAGGGAGAAATGATTTCTCGGAGTCCTTTAAAAAATGGTCTAATTGAGATACAATTTACACACAATGAAATGCACAGATCTTAAATATACAGCTCAATGAGTTTTTTAAATCAGCTTTATTGAAGTATAATTGACATACTGTAAGCTACATGTATTGAAAATGTACATTTTCCTACGTTTTAA